ATAGTCTCAGAGAGGCATCGACCAACAGTATTGATCTCAAGTAGCTGCTCGGGAGCCAGATGAGCCTTGTCGAAATCAATCCCGCCATGCTCTTTTCTCGATATTTTCTTTCACTCATTTTTTTGACTGAAAGAATTATATATATATGTCATCTTTCATTGTAAGTATCAGTAAGGAGAAACTGCTCTTGTAATAAAAGGTGTGAAGCAGTATACAGTGGTGCCAATGATGCCATGTTCACAAGGCAAATGTGGCTTGCAAATGTATATTAGAATGTAACCAATATTTTCTCAAAAAAGAAAAAAAAAACTGAAGTTGCACAAATCTGTTGAACATGGCGGTTCGTTAGGATTCAATTTGTTTGTGTGTGTGTGTGTGTGTGTGTGTGTGTGTGTGTGTGTGTGTGTGTGTGTGTGTGTGTGTGTGTGTGTGTGTTTTTATAGGGGGCGGGAATTTTGGTGGTTATTGAAGTATTTTTTTAAAAAGGTAGCAGGTTTTAAATGGCATGACTAGAAATGTTTAACATTTCACGCAAGAGCTCATTTCAGTGCGTGCCAAATTCTAAATATGTAGTTTTTCTTGGGGTTTTGAGTGTATTTCTGTGACAACTATTCCCAAATGAGGATCAGCCTAAACAAGGGGTGTTTCATGAGAAGAGAAACAAACAATAAACACAATTTTTGGAATTAGCAGAGCTGATTTGTTTTATTGTAGATTGTTTTATTGTACTTTGTTCATGCCTGAGCAGTACCGTAGCTCAATTGTTTTGACACTTGTGCAACAGTTAAGAATGATGTCAAATATGATCTTCAGTATAGTCACTATTATAATGTTCAATAGTGTTATTCTTTGAATACTAGCAATACTAGGGCAAAAAAACGATTCGTTGTAGTTTTTCCCCACGCGTGTGCTGTTTCTCTTTGCATATTTGTAACATTGAATGTGATGCATAACAAAAGGCCATTGGGTAAGTAATTGATTGTTATGGACGAAGAATTGAAGTTAGTTCTCGTGGAAAATTCATAGGGCACATCACAACCAAAAAATGTATTTGTTATGAAAGTCCGGGTGGCCACTTAGTCTCGGGTGTTATCGATTGTGTGTGTGCCTACTCGATGCATCAAGACTATCAGAGACAAGCACTCACTTCCATGAAAGGGAGGCTGGAATTTATTGAAATAATACGATTTCTCAAGTAATTATTTGTTTGAAAAGAGGATGTGTATATGTGCTTATTACCTACTACCACATCAGAGTTGTTGTTAATCCTTTGAGATGGTCAATGGAGCTGAAAGGATTTTGCTGTCAGTCCCTCTGGTTTCATGTGAAGCTACGAAGGCAACATCTGTTGTTGACACAATGTGTTCTGATACCTGTCACAAAGAGATAGCCGACGCGTCCACAAAAGTTATACTGAGACGTGCTCCTCCGTGTTGGTGAAAAACAGCTTGTTGTGGCCCAAATGCTACACTTTGTTGGAGCCATTAGGACTGGATAATGTTTCAGCCATGTTTTATTCAAGGCTCAGGTCACTATTTGAAAATTTGTATTGATCGACCATGGGTAAATGATCACCCTTTTTCTGTATGTGCCCTGTGACTGGCGACCGGTCTAAGGCAGTAGTCTGCTTTTTGCCAGAAGTCAACAAGGGTAGGCTCCCCAAAGCCGTCAACAGTATTAGCACTATTGAAAATCATAGATTGCTGGAATATTGGGGATGCTTGTTTTTTCAGTTCGATATCCTCCATATTTGGACTTACTGGGCCGTATCTTTGTGCCAGTGCAATTCTAGTGCAAAGCGCGTGAGTGGAGTTTTCTTTCTTTTGATATTTTCGTAGACCGTCACAGGCTGAAAGGGGAGTTTGTGCTGTCGTACATCGATGGAAGACGGAACGCAGCCAACTCGTTTGCCATCCAATGGAAGCGGCTCATACCTTTTAAATTGAGCGCAGGGGCGCAGGGTCTACATTGTGGCAGTGGACTCGTTGAAGTTCATGTGGGAAATCAGTGCCATTTAAAAGGAACTGCGAGAGCTCCACTTCCATATGATGTAAAGTTGGCAGCTATGGAGTGGCACTTGGAGACTGCCTTCTAATCCCAATTAAGCATCCGTGTATGACAACCCCCACGACCCTCACATTCCATAGTTGTGCTTTTGGAAATACACTTAAGATAATCACAATGATAATTCATTGAATGAATTGATTTGTACAGTCACTCAGAGGGACTGACCGTTTCCATTTTTACGAATGAAATGCAATCTGATATCAACCACACACGTCCGTGGAGCTCAGAATCTGTCTGTCCGTGCCTCAAATCAAATTCACCAAAATCACCTTAGACCACCAGCACAGCAACTTAGACCTGCTTTTAGCTGGTCTAAATTGAAGTATATGGTCTGCCAAATTCCAAAAAACGCTAAACTAGACTTGCCCTGCAAGAAAATGGAGATGCACGAGTTTTAACGGCAAATGCCTGGCTGCCTGTCTCAGAAAATAAGGCCCATTGTATTTCATTTTTAAATGGAGTTGCCCTTTGTCTGTGTGTGTTGTTTTGTTTGTCCCATCCTATTCCAATGTGAACCATTTATCTCCCAGTATGTCATTGTGTGACTTAGATTACATCATAAAACAATAATAACACATGTAAGCAGAAAAACTGTAGGACTGCAAATCACAAGAGCATTTTCTTACCAGTTCTGGACAATCTAGAAGATTAAACTGCAAGATGAAACTCTCCATATGTTCAACCAACAGAATTTAGTTTAGTGCTTGATAATGAGGATTGGATGCGCCCGTGCTGGCTTTTGTGAACAAACTGGGATTTAAGCATTAATAATCCATTTAATTTGTCATGTGTAAACATACAGTATTAAGAAAATAATCTCCTATCCTACTTCATATCAAATCATGGGGAAAAATTTATTTGCTTAAAAAGTCTACTAATTTAGAAAGAGCCCAGTTATACCTACAAGCTTGTATGCACAGGCTGCAGTTCAGCTTAAAAATTGCACGTCTGTGTTGACAGGGAATTAAATACCGGGGATTTGTGTACAAGTACTATCATCGTTTCCCACCTGTTTTCGGTAGTCAGATGTGGACAAATAACTTTTTTTTTTGTTTTGTTTTGTTTTTTTTAGGAATGCAGTCAGTGCAACAGCTAAATACTGCACAGGTGAACTATTCCATTCTGAAAGGACCAAACCCAAATAGAAGATCAACCCGGTAAGTGGTTAATAAACTACAGGTGGACATTAAGAGCCAACTATATCTGGTGTGTATGTACTTATTTTGTGTATTGTGCATCCTAGTCAATATCCCTATCCATCATCAGTCCTCCTGGTTTTAATGCACAAATGAGGATATACTGTATAAGCGGGGGACTGCACAAGACATAACTGGACTGCGTCGGTTTGCACCACAGGGGGACAACTAACCGAAGCCTGCATTAGAGGCAAAGTGCTGTGCATGTCAGGTTTGTGCCGAATCAGCACTGCCGTCTTCCTGTGGCTTTCCTTCTGTCAATTCCAAAGCCGTTTTTTGGGGGGCTGCAGAAATATATTCCGTGGACATATAAATGTCCTGTTTCGACAGTACATTAAGTGCCAACGGGGATGTTGGTACTTCAGTATTATCAATACATTGAAGGCCATTTGACAGCTTATTGCACCTAATCGGTCACATTACAGGCATCATCCATCATCATCACTGACAAAGAGTGCAACTCAAATGCAAGTGCAAAAAGTCACAGACAATTGGGTTCATAAGCAGTTCAACATGAATATTTGATACAAAGTGACTTGTTTCAATGCTACTCATCATTATGTTGGCTGCAGAGCCAAGTAAAAAGTAGAAGTAGGTTGTACCATTTACAATTATAACACATAACACTCATCTCTGATTTTATTTCACCATATGGAACTGCATCAGATTTTGGGTGACTATTTGATGAATAATGTGGCAAAAGAAGAAAGAATTGTAGCACCATTGTGTTTCTTTCAAATTGTTTTGAGAGTTCTTTGTCAGTGATACATCAGGAAATGGGAAAAAAAAACAGCAACTGTTGGGGGGGGATATCCCGTTCTATTCTATATCTCAAGTCCTGCAAAACTACAGTGTTTAACATTTTATTTTACATTAGCGGTACTTTTTTGAATGTTTTAGTCTTTCGGTGTTTTAATTATATGTTTTAGATGATACTTGCTGATTGTTAAACATTGCCTGTGCAATACACACACACACATATATTGACTGTAAATCAGAAAATAACAGTACAATCGAACCTCTAAAGTCAGACACATTCCATTCTGTGACGCAGGTAGTTCAGAATTTGCTTTTTGAAAGGATGTGCACCACTAAATTCAATTAATTCACACTGTTTCCTCATACATAGATATATATCACTTTAGAGGTTCCATTGTACTGTTAGTTTCTGATTTAGAGTCAATTCATGTGGCATTATTGTGCATTTGGGTAAACCTTCACTCGAACGTAACGAGCAGCTGCTGTAGGTAACATACTTGGACATCCAGAACCTGAAGCAGACATTAGATCAAATACAGGAGGGACACTTACCTTCAAACACAGTACATGTGAAATTCTACTCATGTAAAATATAAGCAATAAAAATTCCGCTTGGGGTGTTTGTGTATTTTTTTTCCAGCAAGTTTAAATTCACATATGTAGTAACCAAAGACTATAGCAGAATATGTAAAAACAATACTGACATGTAAATTTTTACAGTGAGAAGTAGACACTTACCTGCTCAGATGCAGCTATGCAAGATGTACAGTATGTAACATTACACAACTCAAACTATTGAAACAATGTGGTGTTTGCAATGTGATAAGCCAGAGCAAGCAAAAGGCAAATGGGACAATGGCATGTCAAGCATCAAAAATGTATCTTCTCCGACTTGAGAATGTGTAATGCCCAATTATTATAGCAAAACGTGCTAATTCGTGCTTGGTTCAACACAAAAAAAAGGGAAGAAGGCTTTACCTTGAATGCTGAGTAGGGACCTTAGAAGCCAAGTTTCCCCTCTCTGCCCTGAGGAGGAGAGTCAAACGGTAAAGATCAGAAGTCCACTTACCCCACAGGGAGAAGAGGTGAGGATCACAGCCAGGATGGGAGGCCCACAACACTATGATCATGCCTCACACAACCCGAAACCCAGTGTTTGAACCATGGACAACAACACTACGTTCTTTCCTTCTGCCTGCCATTGTCGTCTCCCCATGCAGCAGGCAGGCGACAGATTGAATGCGTGAAGCAAAAGCTGCACCTACCTTGAAGACAGCTATTTAAAAGTGCCACTGACCTCAACTACATTAGTGGGTATGTAAATGTCGTCAGATCATGAATTAAGAACACGAAGAGTCTGGAAGTACCTTTAGTTTTACCTATGAGTTTTGATGGGATGGTCCATAGTGAAAGCAAGTTCCAGTCACAAAAAAAGAAAGAAAAAAAAAGGAGAACAAAAAGGAGAGGAGGAGACACCAATAAGTGCAATGTCAGGGTTCGGAAATGGAAAAAGAGAAAGAGGTTTGATGCTTTCACAAACTATATTTGCAAATAGAGATGAAATGGCTACACATGGAAAGATGGTTGCTTGAACTATGGCTGAATGCGAAGCAAAGTTTGAATGGCAGAAACCGCTACATTGCAGTGATTACCATGCATGCATTGTATTTTGAAAATGCCCTTTCATTAACACAGTACACTAGGGGTGTCCAACTCCGGTCCTTGAGGGCCCCTATCCAGATGTCTACCTCCTCAGCACACCTAACACGCTGGATAGGAACCCTCAAGAGGACTTCAGTTGGACCCCCCACCCCTCCCCCGCAATAAACCATTGGAATTTACAGTAAACACTCAAAGAACAGAATGGAAAGAAATTGAATGGACAGAGTCGCAGCTCATAAAAAGGGGTCATATACCCCGGAGAATGAACATCGAGGTCATTCTAATGAAGGACCACATTGAAAGTGTCCCGTTTTGTGCTGGCGTCAAACACACACATTTCAGAACACAATGACAGCATTAGGAAAAATGGAGGGAAGGCGGGAGAAAAAGAACAGAGCTCATACCTTGGTCGCCCATCATCAGGTGTGCCAGACCTTAAAAAGGAAAACAAGAGCACAGTCAGCAGAGAACTAGGGATCGTGGGAAGTTGTGTCAAAAATAAAAACGGACACAAAGGCATCTCTTTTCACAGTAGATGTCTGTGTTACTGGACAGGATGGGATAAGGAAGAGTCGGAGGGAGAAGAATTGGAGGGTGCACGCACAGGGTCAAGCCTGATGAGCATTCACAGTTAGAATGCGTCATCGGCTACTTACTCACTCAGACATCTTCATTCATGTTTCATCGTATCCGAGATTTGAAATGCACAGACTTTCATTCAGAGTGAAGAAGTCCCCCACCATGACTTTTAATTGAGTCGTCCGTGTACCATGCGGACACAAAATCTATTTAAATGTGCCTGTGACAAGCCAATTAAAGTGAAAAATAGAATAAAGATGATCAATGCGGGCAAAAAAACCCTAACATTGTAATGTTTCAGGTATCCCCAAATTGTGGCCTCCATATAGACGCCATTGTATGTGCCACAAATTAAAACCTTACCTCAGACATCTCTATTGGGAATAGGTCTTTATTTGCATGTACATATACATAATAATATAGTATTACAAATTATCAATATTAAACCAATTATACTGTATTTGGATATAGAGTTAATGATATTTAAAGTATGAATATGGATGGGTGTTTGGTGGCAGCATGGTGATTGAATGGTTAGCACCTCTGCCTCACAGTGCAGAGGTGCAGGGTTTGATTCCGGCTCTGGCCTTCCTGTCTGCCGTTTGCATGTTCTCCCCGTGCCCGCGTGGGTTTTCTCCGGGTATTCCGGTTTCCTCCCACATTCCAAAAACATGCATGGCAGATTAATGGAACACTCAAAATTGACCCGAGGTGTGAGTGTGAACGCGAATATTTGTCAATGTGTGTCCTGTGATTGGCTGACTACCCCGCCTACTGCCCGAAGACAGCTGGGATGGGCTCCAGCACCCCCACAACCTTCGTAAGGATAAGCAATTTAGAAAACGGATGGATAGATGGATGGATGGGTTTTATTGGAAATAATCTGTATATTACAGTATATGTTAAGTATACCTGGAGTTCTAAAACAAATAAAAGAAGGTGAATAGAGATATACAAAGGAATATTGACCAAGTCAGGATGGACCCAACTGATCTGAATGTGCGTTGATTCCCAGAGCATAAAAATGGACGCACACAACATTGCAAAATGGCCCCAGTTAATTTAGACAGACACCATTTCGGTATAAAATCATCTTCAGTACTGCATGAGGAAATCAGATTCCATTCTCGAATTAATCGGGGATTGGTTTCGTTTGTAAATCTTTAATTGCTTTTCCCCGAGAGAGAAGAGTGGATGATGTACCAAGCAATTAAAATCTGAAAGAAATTCCTCGATCCACCTCTAATCAAGCCTCGTTTGGCCCTACAAAAGCCAAATTTTGAACACAATGGTCTTGAATTTCATTAATGACATGTTAAAATCAGGTAAATGGGCAAAATGTGGATAAAATACTCATCAGTAAACCTAATAATACTAATAAGAGCAATAATCACTAAGTAACAATTAAATTTCAATTTATATTAAAAAGAAAATAATGTCCTAACAGCTATTAAAAGAAATTACATGTCAATCATTTGAAACACTTTTTTTTTCTCCTCAATGCAACTCATTCATGTGGTAGCACATTGGGGTCGTCAGACAGTTGTGTGGTGCTGCCTATTTAAAAATAAAGGCCAGACTTAATTTATAAACTCACTCATTTTAAGGGCTTCTAGTGCAACAATTACAAAGTAGAAATCCACCACCATCGTTTTAAACCACACTTTGAAAAAAAAATCTAAAGATGTATATGTGGCATTTATTAAATGACACAAAATCTATTCATATCAGGCATCTTCTCTCAGACACAGCTCGATGAAGAAAAATCTTGAGATCTCAGCAGACGCAATGATCACAACCTGATCATCCACTTACCACTTCAACAACACTAGTTGCCTGTGTCAAAACATGTGCTAACATTATTGTGTAGGTCCATCAACCATAAAGATTCATTCACATTTGCACAGCCACTTGGCTTATACCCACCTTCGGTATATTTCTCTTCTGGAAGCACGGACAGGCAAAGAGAAAGAAAGGAAGACATTCATTAAGCGGCATGCAGACTCGGACTGGCCGTTGCATGTTAGCATGCAAGGCATTGAAAAATCACATGCAAGTGACCTAATACAACCCCATTTCTAATTTTGCACCTCTTTCCTGTCCTTATTTATACACTGGAAGTCACGACAAGGTTGAACACTAGCAACGCCATCCCTTATAAGTTCATCTGATGTAAAAGTATATTATATTGTCTGGCACATTTTAGCGGATGATAAAACATCCAGCAACACTGTTAAATGACTTTAGAAAAAAAGGCTATGAGGCATCATGCTTGGGGGCTATCAAGCACATCTTGGGACTTACTCATTGTGTTATGTAGGGCACTTTAATTCATTTATTTAAGCACGAAGGACTTCAAATATTATTTAATTCACAGCACTAGATGAATGTATTATTTCGGTATACAAAGCTACTTGAGGATGCCTGTAATGAAATGCATTGCAGAAAAAAAAAGCAAAGAAAACTCTTAATAAATTCATTCGTGATAAACAATTCACTGTGACAGAGCAGGCAATTGAGAGCATGTGTTTTTTTAGGTGATTTGCTATTGAAAATATTGAACAGTGGCAGTTCCCTGAAAATGCTCAAATTCTATTTTGGGTGTGAGTGATGTGCGAAGGTGAAAGGAGGAAAAAAAAAAGTCATGTGACACACGAATGAAGGAGTCTAAGAAATGAATATGGATTATAAGCATGCTCAATTATTTTTTTTTTACAGCTGAATTGCATGCACAATGAGATGTTTAAGGCCCATAGACTGCCTATAAAAAAAAAAAAAAAAACATAACAGTCAGCCATGGTTTGCTTCTCCAATGCGGGTTCTTGGCTTAAATACCATACAAAAAACATTTTTTTTCCTCTATATTTTCTGATGAGAGAGTAAAATCTTCACTATAGGAACACATGCAATGTCTAATTATCATTACTTAAAAGACATCAGTACGGCTGGAAAAAAAAAATGGGGAAACGCAGCAAAGACCAATTTAAACCACAACAACAAATTCCTACCTCTTTAAAATGCTTTGTTGCCCAAATTCAAACGATCATATGACCCAAAAACTTACCATCATCACTGGTTCCCCCTTAGACACCATGCATAAAAACATTTACATCAGAGCTTTGTGAACAAATTGCAAAGTAACAGAGCGCCCGACTGTTTCAGTTGACCAGTTTGCCGATGCCTCATTAAAATCGGATACTTGTTTTTTCTTTTTTGAAAATATATTTATCAAGCACAAATGCAACTTTGTGGAATGTTTCATTCCTACAGGTGGACATCTGAAGACCTTCTGGATACTTTGTTCACAAAGCTTGAAGATGACAAGACTTGCTGAAAAAGCATCCAGGCAAAGCATGATGACGATACTTGTAAAGCAAATAAATGTACGATGATGTCGAAACTGCAAAGACCGACAAAGACATTAAGATTAATTATTTCACTTAACTACTTTTGAAAGGCGGGGCCTTGACACATTTTTTTTTGTTTCTTTTTTTCACACTGTAAAAAGGCAAGGGGAGTTGTGTGGATTATTATAACTTGTGTTCAATAGTATAATTCATTTATTCTGCAAAGCGTAATTTTTTTTTATGAATTCTGTGACTTTATTTTTGTAAAATGTTGACTTTCTTACATATTACCCGCTTTTCACTTTACGCCATTGGCTTTGTAGGCTCATTTTCTTTTTTTAAAATCTACTCAACTCAACTGTATTTATAAAGCACAACAACCGCTATCGAAGCAAATAACTCAAATCCCATCATCACGTTGAACTGAGATATAAATTCTAAAAATGTGTGCAAAACATCTTTTTTTTAAATGCAATCTACCTGTATGATCTCTTGATGCCACCGCTATGATTTCAATTTACTCCATTCTAATGAAAAGAAATTTTACTTGATCAACTGCCATACTAGGTCATTAAAAGAAGACCCTGATAACCCCCCCCCCCTTCTCTCTCTCTCTCTCTCTCTCTCTCACACACACACACACGCACACGCACACACACACACACGCACACGCACACACACACACACGCACACGCACACACACACACACGCACACGCACACACACACACACTCACGGTCTCCACACACTTTCTTTCAGAAATGTACCCAGCTGGTTACATTCTAATCCAGAGACATAAATCCCTTTAATCCCCTTGTCAAAGTGATCCTAGTGCTATTGTGCCGGTAACACTACACTAAAATGCACTCTGCTGTCTATCACACACAATCTGCATCTTGTGCTACTGATCATTTTGCAACAGAAACTCATAATGCGTGTGCAGTAATTACATTAGAAAGTCAAAGCACCGCTTTACGGGAAGAAACATCTGGCATGCAGTAATGACACAAAACACATTGAGAAAGGTTACAAATTACATCATTTGTTTGTTTGTTCCGCTGCATTGCTTTTGACACCAAACATCCCGACTCAAAAGTGCTGGGACACTTTGCAAATACTATACATCTCCTGTGAGTGGAATTGGAAGAATAGTTTGTTGGTCCCCACCTCAGTAGTTATATCCGATTCCTCGAAGTGTTGAGGGGAATATTTGGTGATTTTTTTTGTAAGACTTAAGATAATATCGCCATTGTCTTTTAGTTTGCACACCCTCTGAAGCCACAGTAATCGGCAGGATCACTAAAATCATTTCCCTAATATGATAATGACACTTGATGCTTTCAAATGAGCCTGCATAACGACTTAACTGCACCCTGAAGGTTTACAGCCCTTACCTGGAAAATAGCAACTGTTTTTTTAAGAACAACTATTCGTGTAAAATGTGAAATAACAAACGAAGACAAGTGTGATGTATCAAATACAGTATATTGCGGTATTCCGCTGGGCATCTATAATCGGTCCAATTGGTGTATGTAGTGTTTGATTTGTAGTCGGCGTTTGTTTTATTTTTCATTGTTTGTATGCCTTGCCTTGCTTGCTCTGGTAGTTTTACTTCCAGATTTTGTTTCAGGCCTGCCTCTTTTTCTTTTTTTTATCCACTCATCTGCTCTAGATTGAGTTGAGATTCTCCTTGTTAGCCATGGTGCATTGCTATTGCGGTTTCATCCTTGCTGTATTGGATGAACAACTCTGCTGTCTCATCTCATGTTCCGCTGAGCACTTTAATAAATGGGTCCCCAACCACAATGCTGCGGACAAGTAACAGGCCACAATGAGAGACTGAACAAAAAGCAATATTTTATTGATCATCAGAGTCTTAAAGAAATTTCATTTTGAAATTCATGTCTGTCTGCCTCTGCCTTTGTCAAAATGCTCATCTCAACCATTTGATACAGCAAAAAAGGTGTGCTAGTTGACTCACAGGCAGCGGCTTGGCCTTCTCTGGTTTTGAAAAATGGAAATGTTTTTAAGACTTGCCCAAAATAACCATCACTGAGGTACATTGTCTTTGTAAGTCCCCCTCCAAAGGAAAGAGTGGGCTTTGATGTCTGTCTCCTTCACATTCACGGATATAAATATATATGTCAGTAATAATCATGTTTTGGTTACATTCGACATGGGTTATCAATATGTGAATAAACAAAACCTGTTAGTAATTAAGCATGCGGTAATGTATTAGTGTGGACTAACATTGTATTCTTACAGTAAACTCGTGTGGATTTCAATTAACTTTTTTTTAATCTCTTTTTGTATTATTAGTGTCAAACAAAGACAAACAGATGGACAGACAGAATAAGTGGCTTTGCAAGCTTTCTGCTTCATATCCGTTAAAACCTCACAGTTGAGCTGCTTCAGGTTATTGGTAGCTTTCCTCCATCTTAACATGCACAGGATCCAATGTCATATTTGGATACGCCAAATGTTGGTATTCCAAATGTAGATTTAATTTTTAGTTGCCAGATCTCTTTCTTCAACAAGTCTATTTCTCCTTTTAAGTGATTTAATAATTGAATGCACTGCCGTGTCCAGTAGAGCAGGTTTTTGGGACAGAGCAATACACACAATCATGAGTGAGCTCAACATAACTAGGAAATCTGTGGTAGATTAAAACGGCATTTTAGGATGACTGTTTGCATGTTGGAACGCAACAATGTGCATGGTACTGCTTGGTTTGCGTTTGGGGGGGGGGGGGGGGACAAAAAATAAACTTGTTTAAGAGTCATCCCCAGCTGTTAACTCAAGACTATGAAAACACCGATGTCATTTTGAGCTAAATCTGAAATAGGTAAATTATTTTATCTACAATGGATTTAAGTGAGGTGCAAAGATCCGATTAATCTAACGTGCATGTTTTTTTGGAATGTGGCAGTATATCGGAGTATCCAGAGAAAAGCTTGTGCAAGGGGAGAACATGCAAATTCCACACAGTAAGGCCCGATTTGAAATTTGAAACTAGAAGCTCTTGACTAGGCAACCGTGCTAACCACAACGTCACTGTACTGCCCCTTAATAGAGTATTATTTTCTAAAAGTTGTATGTGTCGGAGAATGCTCCAGAAGCCATCGTGTAAGTGTAGATCTGTAGATCCCATAGCTGATGACGTGTTGTTCCCAAACTACTTGCAACTGAATCAACAGTGCCTTAATCAACAGGACCTCTGCTGGCTGCAGCCAGGTAGTGCAGCCTAAACTGCCTCACAATCAATTATTAAATAATTTCACAAAATCAACAGTATGATCGCTTGACTGTTTGAGTGTAATTCCTGCTCCGAGTTGTTACGACACCCAATTAGGAAACGATAACATTCAGTGAGTAACTTCATGAAACTACGTTAACTCATGTTAAATATTATGATCGCCGCTTATCCAAACAAGAGTTTAATTTCCAAATAGCTTCAAATTGAAGCAGTTTTGTCATGCTGCTATTCTTTTTTTAAAAAGTAGGTCAGTTTGAACAAACCCTAAAATGAAACACTGGAACATGAATTGCTTAATAATTGCTTTCATTATTGTAATGCTCAGTTAATAATGACAGAGAG